TTCTTAATTAAATCAACCATTTGGTAGTGGTGTACGGTTTCAGATGTGTCGCAATGTCACCACAAAATACCTCGGTGGCTCCTGCTAACAAAGAGCCCACTATGTGGGTTTTTTTGTCAGAGATGGTGGGGTAAGTTTTCGGTACAGTGTGCCAGAAAGCTGCACAACTCCTGTGCTGTTAATGGGGTTCATGTGGCTAAATTCCTTCAATCCTTGCTGAAAACACCCCCCCTGCCCAACAGCAGTTTCAGGTGAATGTCAAAAAGCAAAGCTAGGGTGGGATCACAGTGACTCTCCAGTTGCCTATCCAAGGGCTTGCAGCAATGCTGGCTCGGTGGGAAGTGCGTGTTGTGCTGTTGTGCAGCCAGGAATGCAAGTAAGGGTGGGTGAGCAGAAGTTCTTGATGCCAGTCCTGGGCTCCAATGAAATGTAATTTCTCCAGGGAACATAGATTGGCAGATAATTTTTAAAGCAACTTTTTAGTTTTTTTGACCAAAAGGTTAAAATCAGCTTGATTAAGTGTTTCGTCTATATCCAATGTGTTGTTAGTTTAATCTCTTATTTTACATCTTTTGTCCTTAATTTGTCAGAATGGTATATTAACCTCCTAGGAGAAATCTCAGTAAACATCTGTGCCTGTGCAGGAGCTTGGGGACAATTCCAGACTGGTCAGTTACTGCTCTTCATCTATAAATAGACAGTTCTGTTTCAAAATTTTATCAAAATTCAGATTATTTTAACAGGAAGAAAATTTGAATGATTTCTTCTCATGTGCTTGTATAGCTGTCCATTATACAGATATACTTTATATATTTTCCACTCGTGCAAAGACTCTGGAAACTGCAGTTCACATGAAGACCTTCTTATATGTAAAATTAATCAGAAGTTGCAAGGACATAATAACATTTGAAATCAATGAAATGACTTGTGCTCGAGTAAAGTGAATGCTTGCTTTTGCATATATGAAATGGGGACTCAAGCAAACCAACCAGGAATGAGGAGTACACTTCTCTTCCAACAAGCAGTTCTAAAAACTCAAGTGGCCTTAGTGCTTAATTTCTGAAGCATTTCAAAGACCTTTACTTTTATGACTCGCTTAGAATATCTAATAATTTTAATTTCACTTTGTGAAAAGGGAAGCTGGAGTTGCTTAGGCCCTACAGAAGAGATACAATTTTAACAGGAAATACATTTGGGAGGAGAAATTCCCTTTTTTGTGACAGGATTCATCTGTCTTTGCATAAATAAGCAAGCATTATTTCAGAAAATAAGGTGAAACTTGTCTCCCACCACCATGATTTTCTTATTGCTGTGACACAGTCCTAGTTATTTTTTCAAATGATAAAAAGCTGATGTTTCAGAATTCTTATGCAGAAACCAAGCCTTCCAAAATCTTGTTCATCAGGTTTAATTTGATGGAAGTTTGAACTGCAAGGTCCTATCCAAGCCCAGATCCGATGGGGTTTTTAGTTTGTTTGTGTATGGGGGTTTTGTTTGTTTGTTTGTTGTTGGGTTGTTTGGGTTTCTCCTGTGGTTTTTTTTTTTTTTGGTTGGTTTTTTGTGGGTTTTTGTTGTTGTTGTTTTTTAAATTTGGACATAACTGTTTATAGATATTGCTCAGTTTCACTGCTGGTGTTTCCCTTAGATTAATGGCATAGGCATGAAGAAATGTCAAAGCTCTCCATGCGCCAGACACTAGTGCCAATTCCTTAGGAAATGTGCCATTATTGCACTCACTCTGTTTATCTGGATAAGCCATGGGGATGATGTTTAATTGAATAACCCATGTGGATGACCCAGCAGAACACTCTGAGCTGTGTGGAGACTGTTGTGGTGCAGGATGGTTGCAATTACTGTAAACTGCATCAGAAATCTTAACAAAATGCCACGCTCAGGAGTTTCTGGTGATAAGAATCAAGGCAATTTGCACCACAAAGAAAGATTAGATGAAAGAAGATGCCAAATTGTGGCATGGAGGATCTGCCTTTTGACAGCTATAAATTGAAACAATTTTCATCTTTGAAAAAAAATAAAGTAGCCTTCAACCTGCCAAGGGGCAGGAGTACATCACAACCCTCCCGAATGTGTGATGGATGCACAAACTGGGGGATGCCACAAGAAATAGAGGAGAGGAAGCTTGAAATGCTGTTGGGTGCATTTCTTTAATAAAAATAAAGCTTTCCAAAACCTCAGTTTCATGATTCAGCATTTCTTTTGGCAGTGTAACAATTTAAAACTAGGCTAAACAAGTCTGAGGGAATATGCTGGTAAGTTCAGGCCAGAGAGGGGGAAGTTTCTGGAAGTAATAGAAAACCTAAGACCCCTTCCACCCCCAGTAATTGCAATTTAATTGTTATAATACACTTCACAAGCACACAATAATTATAACTATAAAGACATGTCATCCTCACAATACGTTCTGAAGCAGGTAGGATTGTGCTTATTTTCTAGATGAATAAACCAACCCACTGCATTAAAATACTTTGACCAAGGTCTGCTCCAAAAAACAATGGGAGACCAAAGAATATACTCTTAAACCTAATTATGAGAGAGCAGTGACATGTATGAAGGAAGCCACTTAACTGAAAATTATAAGTTTAGATGCTGTGGCCAATTTTTGCTTTCCTTTGTTTTGAAAGTCGTAAGGTTTTTGCTGCTCAACTTGAGAATACTTAGTGGAAATTGTGGAAGACCAGCAGTTTAAAAAATTGATGTCAGGAAGTTATTGCACAGTTTTTATCAATTTTTTAATTTTTAAAAAGTATTTATATAACATGCAATTGATTTTTATGCGTAAGTTTTGCTAGTAAGTTGGTGGCATAGCCTGAGTAAATTGATGACCATCAGGCAGCTACAAGACCATAACTGTGTGTCTTGTGCATGTGCCAAGCATCAAATGGAAGTTTGAATTGCTTGTGCATGTTTCTTTCTTGGAGTCAACCACAGATTTCCTCAGGGCGAGATTTTCCTGGAAGGGGCAGTGTCTGAAGCAGCAGTGGAAATGGGTTACCAGGTGGGAAGGTCCTGCAGGAAGCCTGGGCCCCTGGTCTGTCCCAGGGAACTGGGCAGAGCCAGGTGGAGGGTAGGTCAAGAATGGGGCACAGCATTTTAGTATCATCAGAGAGTGTATGTTTGTGAATTTGACATATCATCTATTAAGGAAAAATGCTTTCCTTTGTATTTTACTGCAATATTTTCAGAATCTCCATCCTACTTTGTGTGGAAAGTGGATGAAGTCAGAGAGAGAAAAGCTCTAGGACCTTTCAAAGAAAACAACACTTTTACTTTTCAATATTGAAAAGTGTGATTAAAAAAAAAAATACTGATACTTTGTGATTTTCATTAGCTTTTGAAGCCATAACATAAAGGTCATAAGCCATTGTATCTTATCCCTATATCAAACTTTTTAAAGATTATCACATCTCCAGGAAAGTCCTAATTTAAAGACATTGCTATTTTTTTTTTTTTTTTTAAATTTTAAAGAGGAGAAATACTTTTTGCCAGAAAAATACCTCTTAGCTCAAAACCTGCATGAATCTCCGGGACTCTCTGGTTCCAGGTGATGCTCCAGCTTTGTTGCTCAGCATCCAGAGGAACACAAATTAAAGCTGCAGCACTCCTGCTCCAACACTGGGAGTGGTCAGACTGCAGCTACCTTTTGTTTTACTTCTGTTTAATAGGCAGAACAACAGTGGATGTACGTGCTGGGTGATACTTAATTTCTATATCCACAACCCACCTCTGCCTTCATAAATAAAAACCCACAATGAAGAATTTCTCATGGATTGTTAACTTTGGAAAAGATGCAAAAATACTTACTAAAGGCAGGGTGGATCATCATGGAATTTCCATCCCACAGGAATACCAGTATTTCATTTTGGCCAGGGAAGAGCTCTCAATTTCACCTTCCTTGCTCTGGCTTTACTGTATCTTATTGAAATGGCAAAATTAAACACTCTAATTTCATTGAAATGTGGCATTTATGTAATTTTGCAGTTACCTTGTGATGAAGTTGACAAATTCTTATATAATTCTTTAATTTTGTTTAGTCACCATTTCCCCAAGGGAGCACTTCCAGTGGGAAATTTTGAACACTAAGATGAAAGGCCTAGGCTGCTGTTCAAGGTGGGAAGTAGGACCATGGGGCAGTCAGTCTGCTTGTCCAGAGCAAGCTGAAGCATCTCCACAGGCCTGGCAGGTACCCAATAGATGTGATCAGAGGCATCATTGAACCCATGTTGTCCTATTTTTCAAAATATTACCATCTAAAAGGTAGACTGTAAAGATGTTGAAAATGAGCCTGTGAAGATGTTGAAAAGCGAGCTGAAAAATGAAAAATAAATGTGCTCAAGTGAAAACATATGGCAGGTGCAAGTTATATGCAAACTTCATAATGAATTCTGAAAATATACTTGAAGAATGAGAACTGCAAATGTTTCTAGCCTGGATGGCACATAACAAGGATAACTCCTATATGCTCCATGATGTTTGCCAGATGTAAAAGCACAGTTATGCTGGTGGACTTCATTAATCATTCAATATTCTGAGCATAATAATGGGCAAGAGTTTTGGTAGTGTCAAGTAATTTTCTAAATTGTGCTTAACAGTTTCAAATGAGGGGTGAATGAACTGGCTGCAGTAACTAAAACACTAATTCTGAACCTACATTCAAAGCAGACATGAGTTTCATAGATTTTGTGGATGATCGCTTATCACTATATTTCTATTTTAAACAAGTCTGTCTTTCCACATCTCACGAGCTGATGTCTCTGTGTAGGACTGGAAACAAAAGAGCCAAAATTCAATTTCTTTGTTTCTTCTGGCATAAACCAGATCAGGAATTACTGTAAGATTCCCAGGCTGCTATACCAGACCAGAGACACTGTGCCAAGGAACTCAACCTTGGACCCTTCCCCTTTTGCACAGCACCTCGCCAGCCACACAGCAACACCTGCTCACCTCAATTTGGTTATAACGTGTCTTTCTGCTTTTTTCTTCAGAGCTTTGTCATCCGTGGTGGCTTTAGGAGCTAATATAATCTGCAACAAAATCCCAGGCCTGGCCCCTCGGCAGCGAGCGATCTGCCAGAGCCGCCCCGATGCCATCATTGTGATCGGGGAAGGGGCACAGATGGGAATCAATGAGTGCCAGTACCAGTTCCGCTACGGGAGGTGGAACTGCTCTGCGCTGGGAGAGAAAACAGTCTTTGGACAAGAGCTTCGAGTAGGTAAGGGTGTCTCTGCTACTGTAGGGACCTGTTTGGGATAGTTTTCTCTTACCTGTCTTGCTATGGACCTGCAAAGGTTTATAACCCCCAGAGTACAGCAGTGATGCTTCCAGAACAATTGTGTGTTTCCATTCGGCGAAAAGTAACTGGCAAGAGACATGGAATCTCCAGTGATCTGTAGATCATATCTGTGCAACTTCAGATCCAGCAATGGCCTCAGTGCCTGCACAGCCATCCAAGGTCACAGCCCATGAAAAGAGCATTTCCAACTGTTGTCTTGTTACACATTGTCGTGGTAACTGTGGTGAATATTATGGCCAATCAAAAATTAACTAAAAGCAGCTCAGAAAAATCCCTCTGCAGACTTCCCAGAGGCTTAAGCAATGGGAGAGTCCCAAATAATTGATGGAGGTACCATGCATACAACACTGGCCTTCCAATATGTGGCAATGATACATTTTAATGTTGCTATCATACTGCAAAGAAAATACTGCAAGTGATTTCAGGCAGGAAATATATTCAAAGAAAATAATACATGGTCTTGGCCTGACAAGCTGCTAGCTGGCAGAAGTTAAATCAATACCTTTTCACTTACCCTATGTCTGATATTATTTCACAGGGGAGATTATGTAAATCTTTTTCCAGCATTGAGGTCACTATTTTCCTTTTCACCCAGCCGGGGATCCTTAACTTATTCCTGACCTTTTCTCTCTCTCCCAAGGGCTGCCCACTCTCCTGTCCGTGTTCTGGGCTGGGATAACTTGCTGTATTGTGTGGCTCTTCCAAGGGTGCTCAAAGTGATACCATCCACCTTCTCAGTGGGGTTGGAGCCTGTTTTTCTTGTGTCCTATTTTTCTTTGGGTGATACCTCTTACATTCAATGGTTTGGGTGAATCTTGTGCTTCCATCAACTAATACAGCTGGGTGTGGTCAGCCATAAGATCTCATTAAAACTGTATGAAAAAAGGCTTAACATTTAATTTCATCTGTGCAGAGGTGTTGACTCACATGGTGCTTTGGTTGTTAGTGGTGGTCAAGGCGTCAGGGTGACACCCTTGTGAAATGAATGCCAAAAACTGAAGCATGTTAGGGTCAACAAGGGAACTGGATATTTTTTGAAAGAACATCAAAATCTGAGAGTCTAGGTGAGGTCTGAATGTTTTAAGGACACAGTGGTTCAGCTGTAAATTGTTCTTAGGGAATAAATCCACTGGCATTGGGCAATTGACTTACATTTGCAGGGGGTCTGTCATATTCTGTGAGCTTTACATTACATTCTCAAGGCATCATATTCAGGAATTAAGCTAACTTTTGACTTCTACTGTCAAATTTAAATGAACCAGAAAAAAAAAAAAATCTAGTCACTAGTATTGACTGTTAGAAGCATGGTCTGATCTTCCTTAGTTGATGATATGTTTGTTTGCTTTCGGTTGGTAACCAGAATTACAGAATTCTTGGCAGAAAATACACATCTGCCAAGCATTCTGTACTTCTCCATGCTCTGTTTTCATCTGCCAAAGCTTGCAGGCATGCCCTGATCTTAGATATGTGAGTTGTCTTAACCTTCTGTGAGATCCCTTGTGGCCTGAGAAGGGCTGCTCTGGAGGGTTGTACCAGAGTGGGTGTCATCACAAAGCTTTCCAGTGAAAAGGCTTTCACCACTTCTGCTCTCCTCTTCAAGCTGAGGATCTTGTGTTGTCTCATCATCTTCACCAGAGAGACTCCTTTCATTCTCCAAAACTTTGCAAGTGAAGGCTGTTCAAATAACTACAGAGGACAAGTTGGAGTTGTGCTTTTAGCTTCAATGTTTCTATGTAAAGTAAGAGCTACAAGGAACAGAAAGTATTTGTCATTAGGATGGACCAGCTACCAGGCTGGTCAGGCTCTACAAAGATGGAAAAAAACAGGGTTTTCTTGAGCCACTGTTCAAGCCATATTTGCCAAAATACTTACCAGATTCTTGACCTGTTCACTGAAGCTGGGTGGTTTCTTGCAAGTCTGAAATGGCTGATGTGGAATTTGGTGGGTTCTTTTATGGATGAAACCAAACATAGATGAAACTTGGCTGTTGGAGCTAAGTTCTGCTTTGACATTTGTTGGGTGTGAAACCACACAGACTCTAACAGTTGCAGAAGGTTTACATGACCCTTTCCAGCCGAGCCAGATTAGTTCCATGCAGGTCTATAAAGGATCCCATAACCCACAAGTCTATTTTTTTTATTATTGGAGTAGCACCCAGAGATGATGAGGTCAGTACCTAGGAAAAGGATAGGGTTTAGGAAGTACTGTTATTACATTAGCAAGGGGGAAAAAGGTAAAAAATGGACAAAGACTTAAAACCCCAGCTACTTAAAAGTACAAGATACTTCTAAGCACAATATTCACATGTGTAACTAAACACATGTGGTATTCACATGCCCTCTGAACAGAGACACACTTACCTTTCTCAGGATTTCTCCTAAGAGAAGTTGTGAGAGAAGCAGAGAAAAGAGAAATAAAACAATTCTTATCTCATTGGCTGCTCCTGTGTTTGTGCCAATGTGGAATGTGGTATGGAGATTGCTTACCCAAGGTGATTGCTTGATTGGATTCTGGTGATGGTTGTTTGGATTTGTTGACCAACTGGATTCATGTGTGTGTCGGGACTCTCTGCAGAGTGTCACAGGTTTTTCTTATTAGTGATGTCGTTAGTTAGTGATAGTTCCTGTTAGTGTGTAATATAGTGTAATACAGTTATAGTATAATGAAGTAATTAATTAACCTTCTGAGGTCACTGGAGTTCTGCACATCATTCTTCCCGCGTGTCAGGCATCCCAGCACCGATGAACACACCTGTGTCTGACCCAGAAACACTAAACCAGCCATTCAGCTCCTCCTGAACACACTGAAGAAAGGACTAAAACTAAAAAAAGACAGGCATGTTTTTCACTTCACCCCAAAGGAAAGCTTTGTCCCAGAACTCCCTGGGGAGATGAACACTGAAGGTGAATTACTCAGGTCTCAGGGTAGGGAGGGAAAGTAAGCAGTGATGACATATTAACTGCTTGGGAAGGAGAGGACCTACTCTTTAGCCACTGATCAAGATTCTACCACCATACTGACAAGTAGAGATTTATGGTTATTCTAATTTGTATTTTGATACAACACTCCCCCTTCAAAATTCAAAGCAAACAGACTCACCCAAGGTGAGGTTTCTCCAACAGGTGTCTGTTTCTACCATCACCTCTTGGGTGCCTTTTTAGTTCCAGCTATGCATGTCTGCCACCCACCACCAAACCAGAAGACATGACACAGGGACACATGTCCCCCCTTGTGATTTCTAGGGATCCTACTGTGGCAGGAGAAGTCCTCAGTTTATTAGCTAAGCTCTAGGATGGTTCAGTGAGGAGTTATTTATTCAAAGAGGTACTTCAGTGAATGAGGGCTGCATCACCAATACAGTACATGGAATTTACATTAAAAACAATTGAAATAGTCCAGAGGATGGAACAACAGTTGCAGAAATCATGGGGCATTCATGTTGGTGTGAAAGATTTATAGCAGCCAGATATAAAAGTGACAGAGAAATCTAAATTACTAGCATGAACAAAGGCTGTAGCATGGGATGAATTTGCCAAGCACTTTGTATGCATAGCTTATTTTGATATATTTATAGCTGAGACCTCTTCCATAGTCATGCCATCCCCAAAGACAGCCAGTCCTGCAGTTACTTTACTCATGCTGTCCTTGTACATTTTTGTATTTTTCACCTTCCTGTGCTCATCCCTAGTTTTCAGGCCAGCTTCTCCCATAGTCTTCTGTACTCTCCACTCATTCTGCTTGCTTTAAGCCTCTTTAAAGATTGCCTCTTAAATGAATTTAAAAATTTAAAAATAGATCTTTTTAAGCTAATTAAAAAGTAATTATACATCAAATGTTATTACTGGTATTCACTGTTGAAAGATAATTGCCCTTCTAACATTTTGAAAGCGAGGACCCTGATCTGGAAGAGTAAAGCCTCTGGTCCTATGGGGTTATTGATACAAGAGAGCTCCAACACTAGGTCTCTATTCCCCCAAATGATGGCCAGAGCAATTTGTCACTCACATGCCTCTGAAGGCTGCAGATCATTAATAGCATTGAAAGCAAAGAACTCCCCCCAGAAAAGTAAGCAGTGCAGGCTCTGTAGTATGAAGTCTGAATCAATAACAGAAATGAAACCTACTGTTGTTTTTTGACAGTGGATTATTCTGGCTAATTATTTGTGCATTGACCCTTTCCACTGGAATCCTTTAAACTGAAGTGCTTATGAACAGGCAGCTCTTACCAGTGCTAAAACCAGGGCAAAACTGAGTTATTTTGGTGTTTTGAAAAATATATCTGTCAAGATATCCAAAGTGATCTGTACCTGTCTCCTTTCTCAGACTCATGATGTGGAAAATGAGCATGATTTAGCAATATTTGTCTGTGTCACTGGTGCAGTGATTCAGAAAATCATTAAATTGGACACCTGACAGGGAAATATTAACAAGTAGGCCAAACCCAAGAGAGTTCTGAAGTTTTTTTTTTTTTTTTTTAATGCCTTACCCTTTGTTTTGATCTGTAGTTTTCTGGTGTGTTGAAAGGATGCATCTGAAAGGAAGTTACAGCTCTGCTTGCCAGGGGAGGTTTAGGAGAAGAGCATTTTAGGAAGTTTCCTGTCTCTTCCCATTCACTTAACTTTTGTTCCACTCTCCAGGCAGAAAGGGGGAGAGATAGGAGAAAACCCCTACAGTTTAAGCAAGAAACAAAATCTGTGCATGGATTTTATTAACTCCCAGGTGAAGAAGACTTTTGGCAAACACAATCAGAACATAAACTTCAATGTCACAGTTCTCTACATGCACTTGTACATGTGCACACATAAACTGGGAAAACGATAATTCCAAACAGAAGACTGGGAAGGGGAGGGGGACAACTTCTGAAGGAGAGATACTCATAAACAACTGTGATTCTTGCTCTCTTTGTACTGGAAACAGGTAACATTGTCAGTCCTCTCTTGATCCCATGTTTCAGCAGCAGGCCTGAAAAAACTTTGGAATTGGGCATGAAACATATCTAAGTGACGGTGTCATGGAGGAGCAGTTGGCATCTTATCATACATGCTGAGGGGGTGTCAGCCAGTAAATTATTCTTTGTTCAGGCCATATATAGGCTTAATTAAATTTGGATTCCACATATGAAACCAGTAATTTTTATTCTGGGCTATGATGATGGTTTCACTGAGATGCCAAATGTTCATAAAAGCTTCCTACCAAAAATGGGAGGAGTAGAGAGGCTCATTATTCTCCAAAAATGGATATTTGGGTCCAAGCAGATGGATTAATCTAGCACAGTAGTGTCTAGTGTGGTATAAGTTGGCCAGCTTGGAAAGCTTGGCTTTCAGTGGGAGCAGAAACTCGCGATGCATGAAGACAGGCGGCATTCTTAGGAATGCTTTACAACCATAGCTGTGCTTTAATGCTATCAGCAAGTCAATAAAGGGAGCCATAAATGAATCCAGACAGTTTGCTAAAGTAAGTTCATTTCTAGCTCACTTTTTTGCCTTTATTTTCTCCTGCCATTTCTTTCTCTGCTACTTTATGTTCTCATTTTCAATTTTTTAAAATCAATTTATGTTGTTTGTTATATGTTTGTTAAGGCTTAGTAATATTCATATATCAGGTTGACTGTATGTTTATTATTCTAACATCTGTGTATTTATTATGGGAAAATCTATCTTTACGAACTTGCACTATATCCAATAAAAACAATATGGGGGAAAAAAGGAATTGTACAGCTGGAAACAATTTGGAGGAGGAAAATGAGCTGGAATTAGATTATTTTAAATATGATACAGAGCAGGGTACACACTTCACCGACGGAAAGGCAGTAATTATCTTTGTCATAGCAGTAGGTGCTATGATTGGTTTAGGCATTTGTCAGCTATGAGAACCTCAATTGCACAGTGGCTTTTGGACCTAATGTGGAAAAATTTGGGGTTTTTTGTTGTTGTCATTTAGCATGGGCTCAGACAAGCATTTGAGCATTCAAGCAACAGAGCAGAAATAAATTTGTTTTCAGTAATTTGAACTGGATTTCTCCATTGGTGCTAGGATATAGTAAAAACCTTCCAGTGTGAGGGGTGGCTTCTCAAGGCATGCCATCAGCTTTCAGCTCCTGGTACAGCAGGCTGGCTGGGGTACCAGGAGAAAGGTGCACAGATGCACTCAATTGGCTGCAATCTGTACTGAGCACGTGTGCAGCTCCAGAGATGATGCAGGACCAATACAAACTGTGCCTTTATTGCTCATGTAGCCAGCTTGGAGTGACTGCTGGTGCCCATTTCCCAAGATGCCACGTGGAGTCATTGCATTTGCCTGTTTGATTTTTTTGAACTATGAAAACAATGGCAAATTCAATGATCTGTTGTTTAAGCAAGCATAAGTCTTAATAGAAGCACAGTGGTGCATAACAAGATGTATATTTCTGGGTTGTTTGGAGAGGGAGAGTTTTCTCATTATTAGCCTGAATGAAAATAAATAAATAAATAAAAAGACATGCATGATGAACCTTCAGCCCTAGCAGCTAGGTAAGAGGCTGACAGGTAGAGGCAGGCAGCAAAGAGATAAAACCCCAAAAATCCGTGGAATTCCTCCGCATGTTCATTTTGCAGGAAAGATTTACCACCCTGCAAACAGCCATTACAAAGCCTCCTCTTAAAATGTCTCAAACAGCACCTTTATTTTCACAACTGGCATGCTGTTGCTGGAAGAAGAAACTAAAACGTCTTTAACCTTAAGGGTGTCCAGTCTATTTGCTCTCACTGATTAGCTATACATTGCTCTTAATGTCTGTCACTTGGATGTTTTTAGAAAAAGAAAATTATCTTTTTATTCTAACAAAGTACTGTTGTTTTAAAGAAACATCCTATTTTGACAGGACACAGGATTCCCAGCTTGGTGAATCAATTTGAACATTTGTCAGTGAAATTTCTCTGTGTTTAAAAATTTCTTAGATGTCAGAACCTCAACATGATTCAGAGAGGCCTTAGTAATGTTTTCAAAATACATTGTAAAACATAGAGGAAAAGACAAACATAAATGGACAGTAGCATTTGTAAATTATGAGTTGACTGAAATAAATTTTGGTTTACTTTACTAGGAAATCTGTCAGTTTGCCACATTAATTTTATAATCTTTTTCTTTGTTTCCCTATAAAAAAAAAAAAGTATATATAGTCTGCAGCATATAATAATCTCCAGCCATGAACAGACAGATGTTTATATATCTCAATTTATCTTCTCCACTTCCTTTTCTTTTTCTAAGGTTTTACTGTTTAGTTCAAGTATAGCTCAACTGTATTTTCTCTTTCCTCAAGGGTCATGTGTGTGAAGAATAGTGTAAATTCTCTTAAATTAAAATGTTCTTGTTACCATTTCAATATTTACCTATTTGGCAGCAGATTTTCTTTAAAAGGCAGATATCCTTGTTCCAAACACAGTGCTAATATGGTAATACAATTACTTGGTGACCTGTGTGTGGCTTGCAGCTGGATGAGGAATGATGGTTACTGATCTGAATGAAATCTGGAATTCCCATTCTAAGGAAAGGGCTTTTGTTTCATTCTGTTTCATATAAAAGTGAAGATTTTCTTGGAACAGGTGCTTTTCTGTAGACATTTTCAAATTTAAATACACTGACATACCTGACTGTGAGCAATTCTGTTTTTGTTTTCTGAGCACTTAATTTTAAATTTGTTCCATGCATTGATGTAAATTAATGCTAAGAACTGTAACTTGGGAAACACAAGTCTCTGGGTCTCCTGAACTCTGCTCTGCTTCCATGGGTATTCTGGGATGTAAGGGCCCATAACACTCCACAGCTTGGTAGGAAACATCATATAGCACAACACACTGTCTTCCCTAAACCTCAGACCTCCTGAAAAACCAAGGGACTGGCGTGGGGATGGGGTTTAACACATTGTTTCCGTGGCTCAAAACTAAATGGACCTTTTTATGGTATGGAATTGCTCCATCTAAGTGTCAGTATGGAAAAGAAACATTTTTTGGGGGAGAGGGGTGGGTACTCATAAGTTTTGTCATTTGTTTGTCCTACTTGCGTACTCAGGTGTGGTGTAAAGAGGGCAGGATGGGGCCTTGGGTCTTTGATGATCATTTCCTGCCCAGCACTGGCCAGAACAAAAATCCTCTTTTTGTCTTTCAGCTTTTCTGTAGTTATACAGGGTAACATTTTCCATATTGCTTTGCTAGTTTCCCTTGGGATGAGTCAGTCAGAGGTCCTGTGGAAAAGATAGTATACAAATTCTAGGCTATGGTTTAGTTGAATGCTGTACCAAAGTTTGGACACAGGGCTAACTTCACATAACAGCTTTAAGCTTGGCATTTCCTTACTTCCAAGTGCCTCCAAGGAACATTAATGTTCATTTAGTGTCATTTTTTAATATCTCTTTTCAATAAAATTGCTGAGTACAAATGTTCCATAGCATGCTGACTCATTGGTTACTTCAGCATCCCAGTCCTATTGGTCAATGACTTAAAATATAATGCATGCTTAAGCCAGGAAGGCAAATGACATTGAAAGTCAAATAAAGTGGGGCTGGGCATCATCCAAAAGGATAGGGGCCAAGTTCTTGTCCTATTACTGTCAGTAGAAATTTTGCTGCTGGTTTCACCAGAACCACTAAAAAGTCTCCTGGCTTTTGGTTATGAGCAGAACTTGAAAGTAAAGTTGAATTTCATAGAGGGACTCAGCTAAACCCCAATTAGTTAAATGACAATCAACCATACGACATTTGACTTTTTAAGTACAAAGCAACTTTGCAAACAGGCAGGTGCTGCCAAACCTTGCCACTGCAGGGGAAGTTCTTTATGGAGGGTGACAGGGAGTGCAGGCCAACACCTGCTGGTGTGTGATGCCTTAATGACTTACGGTTCTAATGACTTTGGAGATTCCTTGAGCTTTACTACTGTGGTTAAGTGTGTTGTCAAAATCTCTTCCCTAGAATTACAGATGATAGGTTTGGTCATCTAGTCCAACCTCTACGCCAAGCAGGACAGGCTAACATAACATTAGACTTCAGAGTTACATGTGTAGCAGCATCCCTCCCTTTCCTCCTCTTAGGGATATGTTCCGTTTGGTGAGCTATGTGTTCTTAAACTGAAAAGCTTGAAATGCAGAGAGAGGCATGTACAAACATTACAAAAAATGCAGCATTTGTTATCTGCACATTTCTGTTTGCAAACAAATATTTTATCATTCAGGATTAGATCACTGATCCATGCAGTTTGACATCATGCCTCCAGTCACAAGCAATTTCTTTTACTAACAAAGTGGCTGGTGTATTGCAAAATAGTACATCTGACAAATACCTCATTTTCTAATTGACAAAATTTCCTTTGTGCGTATCATGCCTGACCTTTTAGCATTGGATTAAATTGTGCATGACTGTAGTTTATTTCTCACTGATGTTCATACTGTGAACAATAATATTATAGTTACTGATAGAAGAGGAAAATTAAAAAAAAGAAATCAAGCAAGCAAGAGGACTCTATCATCTATTATTTGGAGACTCGAAAACGTGAATCTAGCATTCTAAGGTAGTCATTCAAACAGGGAACTGACTCCAGCCATGCTTTTTTTACTCAATACATGCTTAACCTTAAACCCTCCATTGTAACTACTATTAAAGAGGCTTTGAAAGCCTTTTTTTTAAAGGCAGAACCAAGTGGTTTTCAGAATATAGAAGTCATAGTGAAAGCCAGCATGCAAGATCAAGCCAGTGATGGGTCCTTCTGCTCATCCCAGACCCACTAGGAGACTACTTTTAGCCACAAGTGTAGTTTGTTGCTTTGCTATCTATAATGCTCTCTCCAATGCAGAGATTGTGTGAGAAGGATGATTCCTAAGACTTAGCCTCGAATTACTGACATGTCTTTTTAATTTGCTCTCACCCCAGAAAGCTCATGGGTGCACTGGGAGAAGGCTCAACAGACATGCATGGAACTACACATAGACTTTACAGCTTCATTCATGTTGCTAAAATGAAAAAATTTACTCATGGATCATGACTTATTTTTACCTGTTCACTCATTTCTTCACCAAAATGTGGAAACTCATATTCTGTCTGATTCAGCCTCCAGCTACCTTGTTCAGAAGAGATCTCCATTTTATATCCCATCAGACAGGGTCGGTGCAACCTTGCGGTTCCTGAGGGGAATGGCACAAGAGGTAGAAGTGGTATCTCTCTGCTGCTGAATTAAAGGGTTTCAGACAGAAAAGGCAGAACAATGAGGAGCCCCTTCCTCACTTATCTTTGGCCCAGTTTCACATCACACAGCTCCAGGCATTTGCTTGAGATGTCCGAGATAGGAACAAGGCTGTTTTCCTTGTATGGTCAAAGAATAGGGAAAAACACTTCCAGAGGGTGATTTGCATCTTAAACTGACTGCACAGTGGTCCCTGTTGCCTATCCTGGGAATTTAGACTCCCTTAATACCTAAATTTCCTTTGTGTTTGAATTTTTTCCATCTCTCTATATATATAGTTTTGCAGGGGAGCATTTGGTCCACTCATAAAGCCATAGCTGCTTCCCCACATGGAAGACATGGAAACTTAACCCCTATTTAAAGTCCTACCAATTCTTAGTACTCAATCACCAGTAGTACCTGCAAAAGTTGTCTTAGCTGGGGACTTTTAGACAGATAGTGGCAAAACACAAAAATAAACTCTGCAACCACAGGCGTAGCTCCATTGCTGCTCTTTGGAAATTTAAGAATTGGGAGTCCAAAATTACCACCAGATGGTGCACCTATTTAGCAAGTGACAGAGACATATTCCATACAAAAAAATGGAAGCCACAGCCTCCAACAACCCACCAAGTAGCTTCCCCTGCTCTTTATTCTCAGTTGTGATATAAATTGAATGTGTTTGAAACATGGACCTGCTGGTCATACTATCCTGTTACATTTAATACAGAGTATGTTTTCAATCTTTGTAATGGAAGCCTTTCAACTCTCTGGCTAGGGACGTGAGGAAGTGGGAAAGAGTGAAGCAGACCTATAAATGCATGTGAAGGAAGAGGGAAAGAAAAAGGGATGGGCCAGAAGCAGGAAAAAATGCTAATGGTGAAGGGCAATACAGTATCCAAAATCCAAAGTGGGCAGCACCGAGCACTGGTGCATTCCTGTTTTCAGTTGAGGCAGTTTTGGCTATCAATGGTGGGTACCTGTCAGTGCATTTTTGAAGGGTAATCTTAATGTCTATATTTTGGAAACTTGCTAATGCCAGTATTCCAGGCGGAATCAGTCAGGGTATTTCATTAAGGGCATAGTAAAGATGGTGAATTTCCTAAAGAGTCAGGTGGGTTTTATTCTCTGACTGCTTCTCATTCTTAAGCATTTGGGTCTTCCATACTCAGAGCAGGATTAGCACAAATTGACAAGCATATATTTTCTGCCATATTTGTCACAATAACGAAATATCACGTGATTCTTTCAACCATCAATACATTGTCATGTGTAGCACATGAGCTGGCATCTATTTCCGTTCTACTCCTTGCTTAAAAGAAAATTCCAAAGTAATAGCTAGGTTCCTGGCAATTCTATTTCATGAACCTCACGAAACTTATGCAGAAAAAAATATTGTGTCTCATTCCTTTGCTTAGGTGGGTCTTTTACTGCTTTCTCTTGTTATGGTGTCTTTAAAATTATTCCACAAATAGAATTTCGTGTATTGCTAAGAATGATTAATTAGATTGTTCTTTTAGTTACAACTTCATCAGTGAAAATGAACTGAAAATTTCCTGAGTGAAAACATTTGAATACTCTTTAACCCGAGAAGTGTTCATGCAGAATGGATAAAATAATTTTCATTCTCTTTATCTAAGCTGAGAGGAAGGAATCATGTTGAGAAGCTCAATACCATTCCCTTCCTCTCCCTTTTCACATACCTGTGTCTCCTACTTCAATGTAAGAACAATCATTTTATGGTGAAAGGGTGGACCAGGAGATAATGGAGTTGTTCTCTGCTCCCAGCTGTGCCTTTTTGTGTGACCTTGGGCACGTCACTTCATATCTCGCTCTCTGGAAATGAACAACAACTAATTTCAGTGAGGAATTGAAATGTTTGGGGATTAACCTCCACTTGAACATTTGGGATGTATCCTCAAACAAAACTGTTTGCTGTTAAAGTCTTCTTACTCAAAGAGGAAAGAAAAAGGAAAAGAAAGAAATAATGTGGAGGAATATGGTCTTCTAAAAAGTGAGTCCAGGCCCCAAAAAAAAAAAAAACATAGTGAAAAATCCCAGTAGAAGAGGCCTAGTAGGATTATTAGCTTAGGTTGCAGAAGGAAGTCTAAAAACCTTAGGTAATTTTCCACTCAAATTTTACAAAGAGAAAATATTGAACTGATGTTCAGTACTTACATATAACATAAAAGGGACAGAATAAAGCCCACAGGGAGAGTAAATTCTGGTTACTTTTTGTATGTGTGCTGTAATTCTTTGAGTGAATCTTCCCGTCTGTGTTCCCTCTTTTTCTAGCTACTGGTGCACATCCTGACACCAGAGATGGGCATTAACACTTTTTCCCTCTTTCCCTTTCGCTTTCTCCTTGCTGTCTCTCATTTTCTTTCACTTTAGCAGTTCAGTAATGCTGAAACCAAATTCCCTTCCCTTTTGTTTGCTTTCCCCTTGTCCACTGATCAACCATCTTGATTATTACACTCTAGTATTAACTATAGTATAAACAGAAGCACTAAGCAGGAGATTTAGCTGGGTTTTCCCTGCCCTCTTATGCAACCAAAGGTTCTATAGCACCCCCTTTTTGTTTGTTTTCAGGGATTAGTGGCATTAATCCACATACTGGTGACATAATGAGGCATAAGCTTCACTCAGAGCAGCAAGACACTGTGTTTTGAGAGACCCTGGACTACTGTGCTAGAAGGGATGGGCATGGAAGGTTTGAAAGGTGGCAGCCTACCTTCAGAGCTGAGTGGCAGGAAGACTGCTGATGGGGTTTTGCACATCATGAAAGCTTTTCCATTCATGTTGTCTTCTTCTTGAAGTCAGATTCAAAGTGTCTGCATGGAACAGCTCATGCAGCAGTATGTGTGTGCTGTCAGTTTGTGTTAACCAGAAGAACATGACATCATGTGATAGACAAAAACACTACTTGGTACCATATAGCCCGACCCAAAATGTTTCACGTGAAACATTTGTTTTGGTTTGGTTTTAAGACATTTGCCTTTCTAACTGGTCCATTTTAATTAGAGCTGAACCTGAACCACAAACGATAGATTTGAACTTTCCCAGAGTTCAGCTGCGTTCAGATCTGGCTTTTGGTTTGGCCCATCACAAAGACAGAGGTCAGCTCCAAAGTTCAGATCTGGAAATGAGCTGCTGGAAAGTGGGGGGCTGGAAAGATTATTTAGTGACACCCATATTTCACTTTAATGGGGAGTAGAGATACTTGCACATGGGTTTTGGAAGCAGTTTTAATAAGCAGCATCTCGAAGACTGGTATTAATACCAATCTGTCTATTGAAATACTCATGTACAGCAGAAAGGGCCTTATTTCTCCTTTTCTGGTCATAAAGCCCGGATCTTGGCCTGAAACTGGAATATCTTAACCTAGAAATTTTTCTTCTTGTCTTTGTTTAAAACTCATCATTCCTTTCTAGGGTACACTGCTTAAAAACAAATGGGCTAGAAACTTGATCATTTTATTCTTATGAGATTTAGTTTTTTCAGCAGGTAGTTTTCAGGGTTGTTATGGCATCTGCCATTTGTCAGTCTCTGATAGGTTTGGGTCCCCATTTTAGGGTGGCTTCACTCAGTCTGTAGCAAGACACAAGCTTAACACAACACAAATAATACACAGCAACCATTTGTCTACTAGATCAGATAACCTGACGCAGTGGGGTTAGCTGTGCAGGCTCAAATGAAACATTGATTCAGTAACTGTTTTAAGTCCTGAGAAAATTCAGATAAACCTTCCTTGTTTATGTGAATTTTGTCACTTCCCAACTCTTGTCAGGACCAGAAACTCCAGAGCTGAAAAAACAGACTTTGAACTCTTGTGATGCTTCCAAACTAATTTTGCAAACCAGAGAGGTTTGGATCAGAATCTAAACTTTGTGTATTTATCCAAACTTCTCTGCTCTTTACTCTTTTAAATCTCTTTCATATGTGTGATTTGTGCTGTGTCTTGCTCCCTGGGGTTACAAATGTGACCAGGCAAGGACCCTTTAAACACCAAGAAGGGTGGACATCATTACTTGACCCTGTCTCTCCTCCCAGCAAGATGGAAAGCCAGATGTACCAGAAAGGTGAATGCAGCCACACAAGCAGCGTGAAAGAGCATTTCAAAACTATTTAAGCAAATTCAAAAGCAAGTCTCAACCCATCCCTTCCACCAGAACTTTCTCATTTGCTTTCCACATCCTCTGAGCTCGGACAAGGGACTGCAGTGACTTGCAGGATCGCTGCCCAGCCTGTCTGCTGCAGCCCAGGAGCTGTGACCTCTGAGCAGAAATAGCAGAGCACAGACAATGCTGGGCTGCCAGCCCAGCCCCTCTGCTATAGCCACCATGGAAGGGCTGGGTCACTTGTGACAGTGCAAGTGACTTGCTTGTGGAATTTGATTTTCTGAGTTTTTTCTCTAAGGTATCCTGCCAGGTATTAGAAACCATGCCAGGAATTTACAGGAGCTACAGATTTGTAGGACAACCTTCATACCTTCATCCTCCAGGAGACGATCCAACAGCAATTCCCAGCAAATGCAGCAAGAACATCTCTGCTGTGCTCCTGTGCAGAATTTTTACAGAAGAAGACAACATTCTACTATACTATTTGACACAAATTATTTTTCCTTTTTTTTGGTCAAATCTAAGTCTCTTGTCTATGTCTGTGCACTTCTTCAGAAGAAGGCCACCTTGAAGAGCAGAGTCACCAGACAAGAAAGCAAAATAATCTCTGTGACTGCAAAGTGATGTCATGGGCACGCAGGAGATGCTTCTACATGACTAGCAGCCTGAAATGCTGCTCAGACCTCCCAGTCTGGCTGTCACCATTTCTTGGTTTGAGCAGGATGTCCTCTGCTGGATAATCACTGCTCTTACCGTGAAATGTTGCGTAGAGCAAGGTATTTCTAGAGGTCATAATTTCACAGTTATTTGACATAAGGCTCACCTTGTGTTGCTGTTGCAGTGAGAACTAAAAGGTCAGCGGTTATTCCATTTCATGATATTTGTCTGGATTTCGGTTGAAATTCTGAAAGAGAATTTAAATAAACATATATATTTATTAGATCCTTCCTAGGTCACATAGATGCCTAGTGTATGTGATTCAGTTAAATAAAAGATACTGCCTCTCTTCATAAATCTTACTTCAGAAATGTCATGACAAAGTAGAATTAGTACTTTATATAAACTCATCCTAATTCTGTACTTGATAGAATCAAGTTAAATGATACTAAAAAAAACCCCTAGAAAAATACACTTTGTTCAGAAGAAGGTCTTTTTTTTCTAATCAGTGAAAGAAACAAAGTCATCTCCTGGCTTTTCATGTAAAGGAATCTTTTTTCCCCAGTCAGAATACTTAAGGGTGGGCTTTCCTTCTCTAAAACCACCATGTCCCTCCAGCAATTACACTAAGATGATTGCTGCCAGCAAAGCTGGAAAGGCTCACTGTGCAGGGAAATCTGGCTTAACTCCAATGGGATAAGTTTAGACTCTCCCTTTCTTGCATTTTCTACTGCCAGTTTCAGGGCTTCCCCATGCATCTAGATACCTTCTGGGAGCCTTGCTTTTTTGGTTTCTAATTCTCTCAGTTGTTGGTGAGGCTGGATTTTTGTGCCAGCCACATGGAAAATGCTATGTGGAAGAACATCTGAAAGACAGGCTTTTAGAGCCAACACCCTGTTGCACATTTAGCTCTAGGTGCTTAGTTCTTGCCCTATAGATGTAAATTATTTTGTATCCCATATACATTAGGACCTAGTCTGAAAGCAATCTTTAATTGCTAAATGTCCTGTGCTACTCTTGCTTTGTATGTGTTTCCAAAAGGAGGTTTCTAGATTTTTATGTTTGTTTCTATCTATCCGTCTGTCTCAAACATTTGTGTAGGCTAACATAAAAAATTAGTACAAGAAAAAAGTCTATGCTGACAAACAGAATATCCAGCTTGAAGTTGTACGTATCTCACTAGTAGTCAAGAAATGTCAGCTCCAAATGGGAGTATGGAATCACTTGGCGTCTCCTTAAGGCAAGGACTACCTCTTGCAGAAACAGATTTGCGTCTAACACCAATTTTGTCCAGGTATCACTCAGACATTTGGAATTCAATAACTCTGGCAAAGTGGCACTGGCCTATTCATAGGCTCTGCACAGCACATTCAGGCAATATTCATGATTTAACTAACTACCTCAGGAAGCAAAATCAGATATTTTACCTGCAGAATATACAGAAACCCATCCACTGGCATGCCCAGGTATAGGAGTTTGGTGCTTACAACAACCCACAATTCAGTGGACCCTATAGAGGATTATTTAACATGTTCCTACAGCAAAGGACAGGTATGCACAGTGATTTAAAAAAGAATACAGACATGACCACTGCCCTTGGGGATTTGTTATCTGGGCTAGTATTGGCATAAGATAATAGAGGAAAAGTTGACTTGATGCAAATGGCAATGTGAATTTATTTTTAGAGAGGTGCTCTTCAACACAGTACAATTTTGTCAGACCACGGAGATGATTTAAGTTAATTAAAATACTGACCCAGCAAAAAGGCCACTGAGAAGCTCTCATACTCCATGGTAGTGGATTTTTGATACTCATGAGTATAATAGAAGGAATGACAGAGTATTTGTGAAATAGGGTCCACAGCAAAATCAAATACAGTCACAAAATCACAGAATACCTTAGATTGGTAGGATCATACCTAGAGTGCATCCATTCTGAACTGATTCACTCATGAAAGGCTCAAGCTTCTAAAATCTATGCACATGAAAATCTCAGTGGTTGTGGTAGCCACCTCCTCTGCTCTTGTATCTCCTTAAACAGAGCATGAAGTTGACTTGAAAGCAAATGTACTTTAAAAATGTGATTAGTAGTACTGTCTTGGTTTTTTCTCAGGTTCAGAGTGGAGGTTACTTTTCTGCTTGTTTTTTATTATGTGGCAATCGTCTTTTCTACTTCTTAAATCCAAGTGGAAAATGTTTCCCTTGCTGAGCGCCACACAGGTACCTCAGAAACCTTTAACAGGCCATATTATAGGGCAAGAATACTATCAAGAGCAAACATAAAAAAAGGATAAAATATGTGCCCACATAGTTATAGATTTCCCTGCCCTTTTTTCTAAATATTTGACTTATTTTTCTCTGTGAAATAACCTTTAAAAGAGAGATTGCAATGCATTGTCAAATCCTACATAAGAACTGTTGTTAACAGGTTGAGGCAGGTTGAATTATTAAATTAGAAAATAATAGATTAGATGAATAGGATAGGATAGAATGTATAACACATCTGGTATCTCACAGACTCATTTAATTTAAGGACATTGGTATACTTTAGAACACAGTTTCTCTGGGATGCTTTCAGGATTCCATGCTTTCTGGCAAGGGGTGCAAAGAACTTTTTTAAACCTCAGCACACTGCAGGATATCTCCAGCTGAGCTTTCACATACTATGACATATCAAACCTCTTGTCATTTCTGAAAAGAAAAGGCACCAAACATTCATCAGGGAACCATTGAGCACCACAGTGGGACACCAGCAGGTCCAGAAGAGAACACAAGCAGGAGACAATCTCTCTGCTCCAGCTCTCGTTTCCCACATGCTACTTTGATAGCATTAGCAGCAGCATTGTCAAAACACAGCCGCCTGTGACACACAGGGGCTCCTCTCAAAGGCACTGCGCATCTTGGAGCTGCCCCCTCGTGCTCCTCCAGCCATGCTCTCCTGCACTCTTTAAATGTGTGCTCAGCACCATGTTCTGATTTAGCTTAGACAAAAATAACCAGTGGATTCTTTGGCATCAGAACTCAATTTCACCATTTCTTCTGAGAATATACAGTTTGCTTCTTAGGGCTGAGTTGGTAAGAAATATTTGTTATGGCAAAAACAGTTTTACAGCAGAGAGCCCAAAAATTCCTTATTTCTCTGGGCACTGTTAAACTTCTTTTCAGATTACAGCAAACTCACTAACCTCACGGAAACTATCCCAGAAAACTTCACCAAGGGACATGTTGCCAAAAGACAGTCAAAAACATAACAGCATTATGCTCACTGGAACAGAAAAGCTGACTATTGTTTAAGGTTGCCAGGACTTAATAAATTAGGGGGTTAATTAACTTTAAAATTCCTGTAAATCCTCAGAAGACTCATTACAGAAATCACTATGGAAAGTAGCACCAAATCTTTAGAAAATAACCATGACATTCAAAAAATGTTTGAAAATATGTGAAAAAGAGAGGCAGAGTAAGTTTCTCTTTTTAATAGACATGCTTTCAGAAGTACATAAAGAGCGACAGCAAGAAGCTAGAATAAAGCTAGTGTGAAATAATTCTGCCTCATGCACAGTCCATTCTAAAAGATTTGACAAACCCACATGAGGAACAGAAAACAATCCAGTTGACAGAGGAATTCTAAACTCATGGCCAAGATCCTGGAACCTCCAGCCATAAAAACTTAGTGGGAGCTTGGAGATGAAAATGCTGAGTAAGAGAAAAATCTGTAAATAAACCATTATGTCATATCACTACACATGCTCAGCTTTGAGATCTGCAATTTTTTCTGTCCTGGCACTGTTTAATTGAAAATACATACCACAGACAGCCTAGGAAAAAGCTGCTGTAATCACCCCTACTCTAGCTCTAGTTCAACTAAACAGAGCTATACAGATGAAACAAAATCAAGCAATTTTATTTTAGTTAGACTATAGTAGAAAAATAAGGGGTTTAACGCAGAAAAATGAAATTAATTCATACTGTTGTTCTGGTTTGAAAGCAAAACCAGTGAGAGAATCCAAGTCAGAAATACAATTTATAGGGAAAAAGACAAAAATCCATGCAATGATACAAAAGGAAGACCACTGACAAAGGCAGAATACAACCTGACACCCCTCTGGCCAGCGTGCTGGTAGCAGTCCCAATTGGAGTGGCTGCAGTCCCCTTGGGATGGCAGATGTGGTTGCCGTGTCCCCTCAGAAACCTGTGGAAAGGCTGCCTCTGTCTAGAAATGGCCAGATTTATCCAGGTGGGGATGCCTGGCTCCTCCCCCTGGGCGGAGCATCTCACCATGGGCTGATGTTGTTCTGAGTCACAAATCACCTGTTAAACAGAACTGGCTCCTGGAGAGTATCTCTGAGCCATGTGGGAGACATTGATGGGTCTATTGACAGGAGATAAGGAAAACTGCCCAGAGGCAGCTCCTACTGGGATGGTAATAGGAAAAATCTTGGTCTTCAATCTTGGACAACTGTAAAGAGAACATTACTGAACATGACCATCAGCAGGCTCCATCAAAGTTGACCAGAAAGTCCTGCCAGTAACAGATATTCAAGCAGCACCACATTTATTGTTTAGGAACACTTCTGAGCACAGGTGCTTCAAAGAAACCTCACAACCATGGATGGCTATATCTATTTATTTTTTTTTACAGGAGGCTACACAGAAATCAATGAGTTGGTAGTAATTTGTCAGTGAGTAGAAGATGTAGAACAAAGGCTGATCCACTGCTCAGTGGAGTGGACTCCTGAGGAGAGTACAAACCAAGGATAATATCAGGAAGGCTGAGCACTTCTTGCCTCAGACTTTACTAAGCAGGTGAATGGTGAGCAGATGGTTATAAAATTACACCATCAACAGAGAACCGCCTGAGCATTAGAGAGCAGTATTTGTCCATGATGATTGCTTTCCAGTTAGCTGTCCCTCATCTCAGAACATTTAATGGAGTGAGTGTATAGCTGGTTGTCCTTACAGCCACTAGTGCTAAAAACTAGTGGAGAACTCTAATTAAGAAGAACTGAAAAGACAATTGTGTTGCTTTTGTCAAACCAAAGACAAAACCAAAAAAAGCCCAACCCCCCCCCCCCCCAAAAACTAAACGAAAGGAATTGTAGGACCAATCAGGTTAACTTCAGTAAATGGAAAAATACATTTGTAAGCTCATAACTAAGAACAAGGACATGAGTAAGAGTCAACCAGGATCTGTCAAGAAAAAATCATATTAAACCAAACTAATTCCCTTCTTTCTTTGGCCACCCAGGGCCTCAGAGGCAGAGCAGAAGCAGTTTATACCATACATCTTGCACTTAAAGGCAGCTTTTGACACTGCTTTATATGGCATTTGCATAAGAAAACTAAGAACTTCCCAGATGGTTACAGCCCATCTGGAAATCGTACTTTGAGGTAGAGGGTTATCAAAATGGAAAGGTGTGCTGGCAAGGCTCCTTGTGATCTGTGCTGGTACCAGTCAGCGTTATACTCTTGACTTGACCAAGAGAATAAGCTGTGCACATTGCATTTGAGAATTATATTATGTTGGGAAGGACTACAAGGAAGCTGGAGGAAGTTTGGGTCAAAATTGAATATGATCATGTATAAATGATCCACAAAAGAAGAAAAGAAAAGCCTTAAAGCAAAGAAAGAGGAAGCAAATCAGGAAGGCAAAGATCTGTACGTGGGAATGATCATCTGCATAAAGGCAAGATGAGAAACATCTGGTGGGAGAGCAGCTGCACAGAAGACAGCTGCAAATTTAGTAAGAGTCAAAAGTGTCCTGCTGCTGTGAAATAAGGAATTCTGGCAGCAATAAACAGGACTACAGCATACAAAAAGACAGTTTCAGGTTAATGTTAGTGAAATACATACCAGTAGGTGTCCTAAGGTTATGGACTAGACCCTGGAACCTCCTCTACTGAAGATCCTTAAGAACAGGAACAATAAAAGCTGTTGTGAGGAATATGTGTCTTATTAGCCTATGTCAGGGTTGACTGAGTAGAGACCCTCATGAGTTTTCTGCTCTTCTGCCTGTACAAAGTGGTTTCAGTAGCATTTAGTTCTGACATGTAGCATTGGGTACAGAAAGTTAGAGGGACAGAGAAATTAAATTAAATTAAATTAGTCCCTGCTTTTATAAACCAAGAAGCTCAAAGATAATTACACGGAAAATGCAAATAAAGGATCTGCTCCAGACAGTGAGAAAACTCCCTCTGACTTGTACTGCCCTAGGATCAAAACCAAATTGAAGAGCCTGAACTATTTTTCTTGAGAATTGTTAATATGTGTGTTGAATAAAATACAAAATTACAAAGGAAATAAACTTGTCTGTAAAAGTCTTCATCCAACACTATTTAGGGTACTGTTGTCTGAGTTTTAGTTTACTCATCTAGATGTATCTATTGTCTTTTGCCATAAAATTGACTCTATCTGTCATCAGCTTACCAGACTTGCTGAAGAGGATAGGTTTGTCAAAAAAATTTTAGTTCTGCTGTGGTTCATTTCTTTTTCCCATTGACCTATTGTATTGTGTCATATAATCAATCTGGTGTCTTGTGCATGAAGAATTTGTTTTGTTTAATAACAGTATATATTTTTTATTTTATATTTTTGCTGATGCAAGATCTAGGAAATTACTGGCCAAACACTGTATGTTCTGCAGTTAAATATTTCAAGTTAAATTACAGTTCTAATAGCTGATATTCAGTGGCAGCCTTATTCATCTAGCTGCTGACATGAGTCATTTCAGGATGGTGTGTGCAATAGCAGAATTCTCATCTAATTACTCTGACAAATAGATGTCTTGCAAATAGCTATGGAACAGTTAAACTTTAACCCTGTGCTCACAGCTGAATAATTGAATATGCATTTAGCCTATGTGATTCTCAGCTGGTTGTGGCTCCAGGGTGAGAACACTCTGCTGAATGTGTGCACGTTTGAGTCTGGTGAACTACAGCAATTGTGGAACTGGTAAGAATTTCCACATCAAACCATACTCAGTTAAGTGCTCTGTTAGAAGTCTAAAACTTAGCCAGAAATGATATCTAAATGAGGGGTAAAACACAGGCTACTCCATGACTCCAAGGACAGATAAAGCTCCTCTCTGCCTATCTGCCAGAAGACATGTGCTAAGGAATCAGTGGTCTAGTATCTGTCTGTCTGAGCAGCAGCTGCCTGCATTGCTGGCTATTAGAACACTTTTAAAGTACTCTGTTAGAATGCAAATAAACTCAAGAAAATGGCAGGAACTCAGATTGGCAAATGACAGACTCCTCTGATAGCCTGGCAGATTGCTAGAAGTGGCTTTAAGCACCTTCGCCAAAGAAAAAAGGCTCAATTTTAATTAATACTGGCAGTCATCTTATTTTGGAGTTATTAGATTAGACAGTTATCAGATCAGATAGTTATTAGTTCATGTTACTCATGCAAACATCCCTTCTATGTTTTGGGGATAAAGTCACAACTGTCATCTTTGACACCAAGGCAGGCATTTCTAACAGAGAGATGGACAAACCCAAGAGTTGCAATAAAGCCAAAGCAGTGTCTTTTCCACTAAAATAAAAATCTCAACAGAATTTTTCTGGTCTGTGTGACAGAAAACTTTGTAAGTCAGACAAGATTTTTTTCTTCTGAGACTGAGAAACAGCGTGTATACAGTGCCAAATAACTAGATAATCAGGATATTCACTGGAAAAAGAAATATCTAGCCCCAAATTTGAGTCAAACGCCAAATCTGCTGCTACTTGTATCTTCATTTCATGAACATTTCTGGAAAGACCTGTCTCCTTTTTGTTGCAGACCAAGAATATTTTTGAAATCTCAGAAAATTCCGTAAAATGAGATTATTGTTCTCCATTAAGGTATCACAGCAATCATTACTTAAATATTTTTAGCTGCCTAACAAAGACTTGCTTAGAACTGATTCCAGGTGATGACATGCTAATGAAAAGCTTTGTGTACAGCAGACACTATTTGAGCTCTGAGGTTCCCTTCCCTCCTCCATCAGCAGTTTCTGATAGATGCCACTGATCCTGGAACCTCAGTAAACTTTCAGGAACACAAGTGAAGTTTTAGAACATATGCTAGTTAAAAAAATACGAATCCCCCAAAACCTTAATTCTTTGCAGGACAACTTAACTTGCTAATTTCTGAGACCTTTTCATTTGAGAGCTGCATCAAAATGGAGAGTAATCTCTTAAGAGAGTCAGTGTGGTTTCCATTTGATATTATCCCATGACTTGAGAAAACTGATTTTCTTTCATTTTATAAAATTGATCAAGGGAAGCAATGTGTGAAAATTTACAAAGAAGTCACAGACACAGTGGCTATAATGAAATGTCCTACCACCTACTCTGAAGACATGGGGAATATATTGAGCTTAAACACAAAATATGAGCTGAGAAACTGTCACTTAATCTCTGAATAAATCTACTGAACTGTAGGTCACAGCTGCTATGTTCCCTCACAGGAATAAGTTTCTTATTATTATTAAGCCTTTCTACATATACTTCAAAGGTATCTGACCAAAAATTTCCCTGGGTCTGGTTATGCATTGCTGTTTACCCTCATCCTGAAGAAAAGCAAACTGTATCTATATATGTAGCTTCTATTGCATCTCATACTTCCAATATTTCAATGTATAGATTAGAAATAGATTTTTAAAAAAAAAAAAAAGAAGAAAGAAATCCTGCAAGTCAACAGAACACATTTTAAAATAAGAGTCCCAGATTTGAATTTAGCTGGCAAGCGAAGAGGATAGGAGTGAATAGCAACATGTGAAGATCACACTAGGAACTAGAACAGTGGTTCCATAGCTGTTTTGGATTGCAAAAAACCCTCAGAATTTCTTACAGACCACCAGGTATCATTATCATCAAACTTTTAATTGAAACCACTATTTAAAATAGTGTTTAATATGGCTCTGTGGATTAGCTGTGAACCCTTTCCCGTGGCCTCCTGGACCACCAGTGCTCTGCAGACCACGGTTTGGGAAGCAGACTGCACACATCGTACACCCCAGCAAAACACTGCTGTGTCTGAAAGCAGAGGCAGTCCTGCAACTGCACCAGCTACTCAGATAATGCACATGTCAGTTCAACCTTCTTGGCAGCTGAAGAACACAAAACCCTTTTGTTTTTTCCCTACCCAAAGTTTATTTTTTATTTCTTTGGAGAAACAAGAAAATGGAGCCAAACCTCAGTTTCTGATTGTTTCTTGTAGGATCTTTCTCATATCTGACAATGGTGTAATCTTTCAGGAAGCTACGAAAATAAGAAATATAAATCCCCCCATACCTTGGAGTTATCATTCCAGAATAATTATGAGATCTATAAATCCAAAAATTAAAAATTGAAAACTAGCTTCTAAGTTTTTTTGTTTTGTTTTGTTTTTTCCTCCTCCTCTGGAAAATTTGTTCCTTTTTTTTTTTTTTTTTTCCCAAATCCACTAATGATGCTAGAGCTCTGTGTGTGGTCATTAAAGCATTTCAGCAACTTTCTGCAAATTCTTTACAGTTATTCTATGGCTGCAGCACTAGAGGACTGTCTGCTTCTCACCAGAGAAACACACAGAGGAAAGCAACGAGAAGGGAACTCATGGGGAAGGCACTGAGAAGGGAACTGGTGTGGAAGTGTTATAAATAACAGCAGCAAAACACCATGATCCAGCTCTGTGTGAAGCCAGTGTGGTCTCACATAAGAGCAGGGATGGGCTGTAGCTTCCCCTCCCATCCTTCTGCCTCCTTGCACCTCACAGGCACCTCAGCCAATCAGTACAGAAAGGGGCTTTATTCACCTCTCCTCATATACTCATTATCAACAGCTTTTATGTGGAATTGGCCATCGGGAACCTTTGCAAGTAGCAGCATCACACACACACACACACACACACACAAATTTAAACAACAAAAACCCCTCCTTTTCTAAAAGAGCTCTTTTTAAAAAATAAGTCTGTGTTCCATGACACTATCTCACCTAATTTGGAGAGAAAATAGTGCTGTCACAGCACTTCTATGCTAAATAGCCATGGTAATGCAGAGGTTTGAGTCAGAGTGGGAGTGGAAAAGGGTCACTTCAGCATAACTATGCACAGGAGAAGTCTGCAAGGGAAAAGGAGTAACCTCTACCTTGAAAGAAAACGAACCTTACCCAGTTCTTGTCTCTATGGGTCTCTCCTGCAGTGCTTCACACTCAGCATTACTAATGGATGCGACTGAGCATTTATAAAGTCAGATTAATAACCATGCACGCCGAGGAATACCACCCTCCCCACATCACTGCCTGACCCCCGCGATGTAGATAATGTGTGTAACTTTTTTTTTAGCGAGTACGTGCTGCCTTTCTGCCAACCCATCAGCTTTTGGCTTCTCTCCACAGGGAGCAGGGAGGCTGCGTTCACCTATGCCATTACTGCTGCCGGGGTTGCGCACGCTGTCACGGCCGCCTGCAGCCAGGGCAACCTCAGCAATTGTGGCTGTGACCGAGAGAAACAGGGCTACTACAACCAGGAGGAGGGCTGGAAGTGGGGAGGCTGCTCCGCGGATATCAGATACGGCATTGAGTTCTCCCGGAGGTTTGTTGATGCCCGAGAAATCAAAAAGAATGCACGGAGGCTGATGAACTTGCACAACAATGAGGCTGGAAGAAAGGTATTCCAGAAAGGACGAGGGATGGGAGCGTGTGTGCTGGAGGACGGGGGGAGGCTGGCTTGGTGGCAGGAGCATCCCCGAGAGCTCACCCCTCTCGCTGAGTTATCCCGCACCCACATCAAGTCACCGGATGGCATTTGTTCTTCACCTTTTTTTATAATACACCGGCCGTGTATTATAGGCACTCCTGCAAAAAATTCCTGCTTCTTAAGCCTTCTTTCTAGCCCCGATAACAGGGAGGATCTGTTTAGCATAATGATAAATCACTGCTTTGCATCCAATTTGCAAAAAAATCTAGCAAGGGATGTCGGGGCTTGTGATGGGACAGGACTGAGTTGTCTGCGTTGCTCAGCTTCCACAGCACTTCCAGATATTTATTCCAGTGAAACCCAGATCACTCATTTGAGCCCAGCTCTAATGAAATACACATAGTAGTACACAATGCACTTCTTAGCAGATGCACAACTGTGTCTTTGGAACTACAAAGCTACAAAGAGCTGCAGAAGAAGAAGCAGTTTCAAGTCTAGAACCACGACTGAATTGCTTCTCATGGTAACAATAAACATCATGCAGCTATGCTGATTTATATTGTAAATGCAGGTGAACCCAATGGGAAGAAATTACAATGCCTGACTCAATTCAGAAGGCTGAATTATTTCTTTATTATAACTATGCTAAAATACATTAACATACTATATAAAAGGAGGATGCTAAAACTTTCTCTGACTCTATCTCTAACTCACCCACAACTTGTGACCCTCTCTGGAGAGTCCAGCCCCAGGTGGGTTGAATTGGCCATCAGGCTCAAACAATCCTCACCTGAATCCAACCAAGCACTCACCCCAGGTAAACAATTCTCCAAACACATTCCACATAGGAAAATCAAGGAGCAGAAATAGAAATTATTTTCTCTTTCATTTCTCTCTGTGCACCTCTATGAAAAATCCTGAGAGGGAGAGAAATGTGCTTACCACAGATTTATATTCATCAATCCTCATAGCTCTCAAAGCTTGTCCTTTAAAAAGTGTAACAAATCTTTCTGCATCATATATACCTACCTCAGGAGAGATTATAGCCTTCAGAGTGTTTTCCCCCAGGAAAAGCTCCTGGTAGAATAATCCAATATACCAATATAGCAATCCAATAAAATCCACCTCCTTCTCTAGTCCCCAAAGTAAGACTGAATTTTCCTCCTCTAAAACCATGTGTGCTTTCAGTCCTGTACTGAGCACTGGGCTTAGCAGAATTAGTGGTGACAGAAACAATGCAATTATTTTACTGCCTGGATCTTGCTTACTAGCACAGTTGCATTGGCCATGCACTGAAACAGAAGGTTCTGTATGGGCAGGAGTTCACTGGAATGGAAATACTGAATAATATCAGTGTGGTGAGAGAGGCATAAACTCAAGTGTAGAGACAGGATCCATGCTGAGGTCTCCAGGTGTGCAGGAGAAAGCTGACTGGAGAGCCAAACAGAAAAACAGCCTTGAGAGGCACAGTCTTTTTTGCCTAAAAATTGCTGCCACAGGTGTAAAAGAACTTAATTCAGCAGCTGACTATCATATTGGAAGACCAGCTCCAGGTCTGATCACCACTTAGGCTGGGAATTTCAGCTCAGCATCATAAATTGTGTTTGGAGGCAAAAGAAAATGGAAATCAACTATTAAACTTATCAGGGAGAATTTATTAGTGCTAGATGCATTATCATCCCTGTTTAAACTGGCATTCTAGCTGGTGTGTGCTGTGCCACCCCCATGGAGACACTGATGCAGGTCCTGCTTGGAACATGTCACAGTCCAGATGTGAAAGAGGGACAAAAGAGCAAAAGCAGATACTGAGATGGAAAACAGTGAAGTCCCAAGGACAGAAAGAGCTCATTATGTGAACCAAGCACTGATCATGGGTCCCCCAATTCTAAATGCAGCCCAGTAACCACTAGACCACATTGCTGATTCTTATTAAGCATATTATATTTTACTTTTCATCAGAATTTCATAAGCAGAGGGACATAAGCAAACCAAATAAGTGCATGTTTTTACAGATATTTCTGGTAGCAGAATTCATGGAAATAAATTTTAATTAACAAGTCTAAATTTTTTTCAAATGTTCTTGCAAAAAACAAATTATAATACTTTCATATTTTAAGAAAGGAATACAAAGGCTTGCAATACCAACAATATATTTCCCCCCATTTTAAAAAATATAAATAGTATTTTGAAATTTATTAACTTTTTCTTGCATTTTCCAGTAGTTATTTATACCCACAGCTATTATTTAATTCATTGTATTGCTTTCAAAAGCTAAGAATGACTGAAAGAATTTGGTATAGTTTTTTGTTTTTAAGTATAATCCATAAAATCCAGAGGAATGTGCTAATACAAAACATGGTTTTGGGGGTCACATTTAGAAATAATGTTGGTGTTATGATATATAGTCCCTTTAATTAAATATTCAGAGTTGTACAGTAAATAATATTTAGTGATTTTGGTTTCTTCTGAGATAATTTGCTGTTTGTATAAATTAGACATTTTGAATTCAAGACTGACTGAAACTCAAGGTTAGAACAAAACTCTGGAACCTAGGATATGCTTTCTGTGTTTCTGGGTTGGACCCTTACAAAAGCAGTTACAGAATTTTCTGCAATTTCACTGTGAAATCTCAAGTTCCTTCTGAGAATCCAGGCAGACTTGAAATCTGACCTACATCCACCTGAAATCTGTCTGTTTTGGGGGTCCTTGGGAAACTTGTACTGCACAGTGAGCCTGACACAAAATCTGAAACCAGGGGATTATACCCTATTTTCAAATAGGGTATTTTCAACCTTAGCGTGTTAGTGGACAGTAGAGACAGTAGAGGAAGTACATGATTTTGTAGCTTCCTACAGAGATTTCACAGCATTTTCACAATTTTAAATACCCTGCATTCACTTCTGTAATGGTAAGGCTTGAAGTTCTTTTTTAGTCATACCAAATTGGCTTTTTGAGTTAGCTAAGAAGAACAACTTTTATCCAACAAATATACTACCTTCCTTCTAGTCTTTTTGAATCTCAGAGCCTTCCAAGACAGAAACATGAGGAAAAAAGGACAAAAAAGCTCCCAACCCCACATACAAATTGTTTCCAACTTGCTCTGAAGTCAGTGGCGACCTTGATGACCTCACTAGACATCTACCAGGTGGCCAGAGGTTCATTGCTAGGATCATTAGTCAACTCACTGGCCACCAGTTTTGCCCCCCAAGCAATTATTTGAATGTTATTTTATACCACCAGAAGGACTTTCTCATGCACTCTCAGAAATTGTGCCCATTCTCAATCTCTTCCAGCACTTGTCCTGCACGTGCCTGGGTGTCAGAGGGGTTTGTAAATGCAGCAGTATGGCTTTAATAATTTGCTTTCATTGGGATGCTCCCAAAAGCTGGCCTGCTGGTACTTCACTGCTGCTAAAAACAGAACCCAGAGGAATTTTCTTTGTGGAACAAGCAGCGTGCTGTAAAAATAATTGCACACACTTTGCAAACAGATGAGGGGAAAAACAGTCTTGGGGGGGTCTTTTACTTCTGTCTAGGGCTAAGATGTTCAATACAACCCTCTAATAAATTATCTTATTGGAAAAAAATGCCATTTAGGTTTCTCAGGGAATTTCTGATGACTCTGGAATGAATGAATACCCTAATTGCCCCACACTGCATCCCTTATGGCTCTGCATTGAATTTCTAAGAATTGTTTCAGTAATGACAGGTTTGCAAAGCTTCAGCTAAATTTGCAATAAGAAGCACCAGTGACAAAATCATAATCTTGTCATTGGTGCAATTTAAAATAAATAAGTTCTCAGGGGTGGTTCCTGGTGACACAAGACTCTCCTGACAGAAAATTTATGCTTGGAGGCAAAGTGGCACCACACGGTGTGAAAGAGCAGAGGAACAAACTTCCCTGTCAGCTTCTAAGCTGCTGGGATTTGGGATGGAAAGCACAAGTGTGGTAAATGAAAACAAGCCCCCAAAGGAGGACAGCCTAACACAAATGTTACTGAAAGAACGTTTTGTTGCAAATCTGAAAGATTACAGAGAGATCTGTGGGCAAAACTTTGACAGAGTAATGAAAAATTAAATACCAAAAAACCGAGTCAGCTTTGATGCTGCTTTATGAGACAGCTTTCTACTGTGTATTTTTAGAAATAAGTATCTTTATTATGGGATAAATGAACTTAGAGTAACATCTGGGAACATGCATCATTAAGCTTAACTTTTTGTTGAAAGTTTCAAAACAATGACTGTCTCTCATGGGAAATCTCATTTATAAAAATGTAGGTTTCTGTTTGTTTTTATGGGGTGAGTTAAAAGAACAAACTGACAAATTGGTAGCAGATTGCAGCTTTTACAAAAAAGTAGAAATGTTTCTAACAGTTTATCAATCAATTAGGCTCTCACAACAGACAGTGACTGTGGTTATGTGGAGAAAAAACTGGCCCTTGCAGAAACACACCCATCACACTGACTGCCAGCAGCTCTGCCTGTCACCATCCCAATATTTACTCCTTTGTAGCAGCAATGGGATTTTCCTGTTGTTTTTTTGGAATGCCTGGAAGATGACAACAGCTTATTTTACATATGAAACAATAGGAGTGTGGGGAAAAATCCAAATAATTCAGGCTCTCTTCAGAAGAGGTTTTTCAATTACTTGGGACAACATTTCCACCTAAGCCATGGTTTTTTCTCATCGTTTCTGGTACAATAGGCCTGTGCTACTGGGAAGGGGTTCTTTTGCTCACTTGTTTTGGCTGTAGAACAGCTAATGAGGTAATTTGTTGCTTATCATTCATTACATATATACACATATAAAGATACAAAAATTATATTCATTGTATCATATATACATAAACAGACATAAATATATACAGTGTGTGTGTGTGTAATTATAGATATTTATACATATTTATATCTATTGTCTGTGCATATATTATGTGAGACAGTGTTAACTCCTTTCACCTCACGAGCAGCATTG